CAGCAAATCAGTACTGGTGGAACATGATCAGCGGAGAGGTGTTTCAAAAAAATCTCTCTATCTTTTGAGAATTTTATAGGGGGAGGCTTCCGACCCCATTCCGTTCAATTTGTTTAAAGGGTATCGTTTAACTTTGAAAAGAAACTTTTCACGGCCACAAGATGTTGGGATTTTTTTCTGACCAAACCTTCTTTTCCTTTTATTTGTCCCTGGAGGGGCTGCAGTTCAGTTTTAGGGAATGCATCTCGATAAAAGGAGAACTTTTTTGGTTTGAAGTATGGGGCAATAGATCTCTGACGACATAAACTCCAAACCGTCGGTAATACTCGGGCAAATCTTTTTTTTTGGCATTTGAAATCAAGTGGTTGCGATCTAATGCGTGATTTCAACACCATAGTCCTGCACTGTGCAAAGAAGGGTTGAATATTGGACAGATTAGTTCATACGGAGCTAAGAAGATCAACTTTGCACTGCAGAGTTCTTGGAGGCGGAATCCGGCTATGAGATGATCGAAAGAGTGTTTGACTCTTAGGTTGAGTTTGGGCGGCCTGCTCTTGACACGGGTTTCTTGTTCTCGCGCTCGAACGGTGGGAACACCATAGACAACGGGAAGCTTTGCAAAATTAACATTAACTATTTTTCCGTAGCAGAGAAATGAATGTTCCTGTTTATACAGAAAAGAATTCCGTCCATCCAAACATTAACTCTCGAATAACGCACCCTACATGGACGCCGCCATGTTGCATGTTGCTTTTCACTCTCTACCAGCGATAACCGGTTGTTCGTTCCCGGCGTTCGAGCGGCCGCCCCTCGAACAACAAATCGAGCTGTTCTTGAACAAACGAGAACATGCTGCCCGAACTCAGCCTACGGGTCAGTCATTTTCAGCGCTATTCCAGAATTTATGGTATAAAATCACAACCCCAGCCGATGGAACTCGAACCCTTGACCAGCGCACAGCGGTTTGCGCACCGTCAGTTTTAGGGACATTTGAGAAACAGAGGCATTTGTTACAAATACGGGATGAGCAAGAGCAAACCCCAACCCCGGATGAAACCAGCAAAGTTGACACTTTCATACTGTTGAGCAATGCCACATACCTAGAAGGACCCTTGCGGAAGCCTTAGAGCATCCGGCGGCCAGTCTGGAAGAATGGTGGAGGGAGATGGGCAAGGCCCTCCCCGGACTACCCCTACCGTAACGACGAGTTCCACTTTTAGTGTCGCTATGATTTCTAACAGTGCCTAAAGAGAAGGATTGAGGACATCCATTTTTATCTTTTTTGATAAACCTATTTCCAATTTCGTTATGACATTTAAACCAGCAAAAGGCTACTGCATACTGACCTTGTGTCCACCACAGTATCCATGCCGTAGCACTGTGTGGACTTAGCTTGTATCAAACAGGGAGTAAAGATGAACATTTGAAACCGAACTGGCAGCTAAAAGTTTTTTAAAAAAAGCGGGACACCGTTTTCGTGACACCATCTGGTCTGCCGCTATGTGGCGCCTATTTCTGGTATTGTGCCCCTTTAACTATAAATTAATTCTATACACAGGCTTAAACATGAATTCGATGTAGGGGCGTCAAGAATGACAGCGTCCTCTCGTGTTCATGTTCGCGATGTAGCAAGTGATGTTATGGCCATCCTACTCGCTCAAAGCAATAATGGGGTAACATCTTACCCCTGAAAGAGTTGAGACTGGATTCCAGGTCCCCCCTTTAATATTTTGTCAATATCAGCGCAGTGCATTCTTCTTTCGAGCAGAGCCTTTTGGGTTTTTTAATAACTCTTTGCAGCTATTGTGACACCAACAGATTGAGATTCGAAAATTGAACAAATCATTCTCAAGCGGTCAGCCAAAAATGTATCCAGGTCCACTGCCGAGGTCAATGCAGGCGGGTTGGCACACGGGTGGCCTTGAAAGTCAAATGACTTTAACAACAAAAACCAGTGTGATATTATAACAAGAAGTTTCTATACATATACACTAAGTTTCAAAGGAATCGGGCATAGGACAGCCAAGTTTGTGTGGGGGGGTGGAATCATGTACATGCATACTGATTTATAAATTTTCAAAACTTTGGATACTTCTTTTGATGTCCAATGAATTGGCTTTTTTCGTAATGCTTCCTCTTTCCCCACTCTTTGTTTGATGTATGTTTTTACAGATGCATACCCGCTTTGCAACAATCTTTTCAACTGCCATCCTTCTGGTTAACTCTATACCTCAAGCTGCCTTTAGCTGGCAGGCTGTCATAGACGATGAAGGTTCTGGGTCCCAGGCGTGTCCAGTGTGCTGCCAGCAGGGACCTGCTGGAGCACCCGGCATGCCAGGCCTGCCGGGTATGTATGGCCCCGCTGGGCTAAAGGGCGACGTGGGTGAGCCAGGTCAGAAGGGTGAGACTGGTCCAATTGGCGTCGTTGGTGAGCCGGGACCTCCTGGGGTCTCTGGGCCCCCGGGAGATAAAGGGGACAATGGAATCGGCCCACCCGGTAAGAAAGGTTCGAGAGGGCCAGGTGGTGCAGTCGGCTCACCCGGGACAAGTGGTGTCAAAGGTCAAAAGGGTGAACCCGGGGAGACTGTAGATAACTCCGCTCACCGAATAGCATTCACTGTGACGCGGACGAGCTACTCAGACGTCTCTACAGATGAGGATACCCCTTTGCCTTTCCAGCGGTTTGAGACGCTTCTGCCGGGTACCAGCTTCAATCTGGAAAATGGTACATTTACGTGTGATGTGCCGGGCACCTACGTTTTCATGTTCTCTGTGCTGAAATATTCTTCCACTGATTTCTTAAGGGTTCACCTAAAGAAAAACGATAAGAAAATTGTCGGCGCCTTCGCTCCTGATGTAAATGATAATGTGCAGACGTCTTCGGGCGCTGTGCTGGCTCTGAGTCAAGGGGATACGGTGCATTTGTCCATTTTCGGTAGGGTGCAGAGTTCCTCGGTGTGGCGCTGGTGCTCATTCAGTGGTTTTCTCCTTTACGCCGATTAACAAGCAGCAAGAAATCACAATCTTCGTACCTAAAGTTTGCAAATGGCATGTTTTAAGTCTTTCAAGAAATACTTTCATGACGTATATGACGTCATGATTGCATAAATTTCGTCGTTAAAATCTACTCTAACTAAAAGAAGTAGTTCTCATTATGCCTCATGTGATATAGATTTGGTCATGCAATTATATTTTATCTTTGAATGCGTCTAAATAAGATGAATTCAGTTGCAAAATATGCGAGACAACGTTAGAATCACACTTTTCGAAAATTTGAAAGGCTTCTCTAACAGATTTAATAAAACAGTTAATATCCCAGTTTGCTAGAAGAAAACAACTATTTTTTTTTCATCCCGCTATTCTTTGATGAAAAACATAGCTCGAGTTTTCAGTGAGTAAACAACTATGAAGTGCAGTACGTATCGTAAATCTGGCCTATTTTGACCTCAGAGTAGAACATTTGAAAGTTGTGGGCCGAAACTTCAAGTTCACTATTTTGATCGAAATGTGAATTTAACGTTGTAATTTTATTGACTGAAAGTGACTTTAAATTATGGTTTTTTTTCATTCGCAAAAATTTCTCTCAATCCTCAACACCAGCTGGTAGTACCGTTTTGAAAGAGCTTGCGCATGTAAACTTGTCTCTATTCGCAGACAACCTCCCCAGCCCCCACCCCCCCATGCTTGATCTGCTCTGCTGAACATTATAGTACTTCTCTTAATTTTGGAGGGGAGCTACGTTAGAAGTTCTGCATATAAAAGATGCTTTGCAAGGGAGTGACCAAAGTGGAGAGAGGTAAAACTTTGTGGATCCTTTAACTGAGCTGATTAGCCATCCAAAATTCTATCTTTAAGTCTGTGAATAATCTACGTTGACTTTGGATGGAATGGAAAATAATTGTAGGAGATGGCAGAGCGCGATACCTGGCCTTTAAGTTTAGACCAACACTGCTCGTACCCTAGACCTGAAATCAAGTCGGTAATTGGCTGAGTGTAGTCCACCTTCCATACGTACGCGGTGCGGTTCGGCGACCAGTTTAATAACAGGGTCAGTGCAACCTCGCTCCCCCTTCAACCGAGCAATTTTGCATTGGTTTGCTCTAAGTTTTGGATAAAGTTTCGTTCAATTTGTGGGGTAAAGTTTCGTTCAGTTTGTTTTGGTTTGGTTATATTTCGTTCAGTAGTTTAGTTTTGTTTTTAGTATTTTGAGCAGTCCACTCGGGGCTTTATTTTTTCACATATTGTACTTTCTACCAATTGCATTTTTCTTTCCTTAGAATTGTTGTATTCCTCGAGATTTTCCATTCATTGTTTTTGAAACAGTTTGGATTTTTGTTCAAAAATAGTTTTGGGTGCAAAAGGTCTTATGTTCTCTGTCACTCAAAATAAATACTTCCTTTGTTGAAAAGTAAATGGTTGCTTTTTCTGATTCATTTTTCCGTTGTCCCAGTTTTTCTCTGAAAATCAATCTCAACCTACTCATAGAGCCAGGATTTTTCTTAAGTTAACCGTTTTCGCCGCTACATTTACCTCTATCGAATGTCTCAAAAGTTGTGTTCAATCTCATATGCCGCAGCCTTGTGTTGGCCCAAGAGTGCCAAATTCTGTTCAACAGAGGGCACTGTTGATTTTTCAAAATAAGTCGGGTGAGGTGAAGACGGTGAATCCGTCTTGAGCGGAAGCACCCCCTCATCGGTTAAAAAGAGAAATCGGGTGGGGGGGTCATTTTATTGCTGGCGATAAGACTGGAGCGCTTGTGTTTCATAGTCATTCATGAACAGTTACCACCAAAGAGTGCACTCTGATAATAGAGTCCTACAGACACCAGTAATAATTCCCTTATATTTTAAAGTTCTTTGAACAAAAATGCAACTCTGATAGAGATGTTCAAGCTGCACAGAAAAATTTCTTTGCGACAAATATACTTCAGTAGAGGGCGCTGTTTGAGGCAAAGCTGTGAGAACCCGAGATGGGAGTATCTGAGAGGGCGCTATTTGTGTGCGACGTACAAATTGAAATGTGAGCACGAGACGGGGGCAGGAATTCCCTGAAAAAAGGTGCTGTTTCGAGAAGGTGAGTTCAGCCATGGTTCAGCAGAACCTTTTCAAATTATGCCTATTGTTTATGGTTCATGCTGAGTGTAGCTAATTCAATCGTATCAAATGCAAAACGAGTTTATTCTGGTCAGATCATATCTAATGGTCTAGTAGTAGCTATACTAAGTGGAGCGTTTGTTATGATTTGTGACGGGATCGTCATACTAACGCTCCACGACATTACATTATTAGAAAGCTCGCCCAAAATACCTCTATCACCACCTCCTGGCATCCGTAAATGCCAACGTCAAACGGTTCTGCTTCAATAATATTTCTGACTTCAAAATCTTCCAAATCCGACCGTTTTGCTTGACACATGCACAGCACTTAACCTTTTCGCTGCCTCCTTGCATTCAAATACGGGCGTGTAGTTTTCCTAGCCAATAACTCTATAGCGAAGATGGTCCTCCAAAGACGTGTGCATGAACGTGCTCTACGTGGTGCGGACACAAGACTTGTAGATCGTGACATGTCGTGACCTTTGTGGTCCCTACCAACGACTGCTTCATGGTGCCAAATGCATTGCACGTGCAGGCCTTGCTCTGTGGGCGAAACACGGTCCTCCCAGAAACTCGCATGAGTGGCCTATACGTGGTCTGGGTGCAAGACTTGTTGATCGTGACAGTTGGGAGTGCTACCAATGACTGTTTCCTGGTCAGTACATCTTGTGTCCGACTACATTTGGGCCTCTCCTTTGATTTGGTTAGAGGACCATGTGCACCCATATACCAAATGAAGGGAAAGTATTAAGTGTCTTGAAATCTGGAATAGTTTTGCTGTTTCTGCAGCCTCCGAAAAATTGATCGTTTGATTTGGTGGCATCTTCAAAGGCCGAGGTGTCACTTTTCTTTGCTTGTAAATAGGGTATAAATGTCCTGCACAATCTTAAAACTGTTGCAAATTTATTGTTCTCCACCCTGAGTTGATTTACTTTCTAATGAGATCCATTTACAGGATAATTAACTCAGGAGAGAGGCAATAAATGTGCACAAGAGTCAAGATTGTGCTTAACAGAAATGTAAATATCTATGGAAAGGTGTTTTTGTAAACATGTTTTGGATTCCACACTGAGAAATGGATTACCTCTTCAAATTTGGAAGTAACTTGAATAGGTTGCCCTTCAAGTAATCTTTTCAGGTTTTGGAAGTCCAGATTACTCAAGAATATTAGAAGAATTAACAACTGATGGTTATTTGGATCTCCCACTTGTCAGTAGAGAATGGCCAGTAGAACCGAGAATGTTTGGGTGTGTAGTGACAAGGAGACAGTTTTACAGGTGAAACCCCAGAAGAATATTCTGGTGAAAAACCAGCCGGTCAGGTAGGGACTAAAAATCCAATCCATTTGTGGATTGTGGACCGAGCCGGAAATGGGGGCGATTCACAAAAGCACCCATCCAATGCATGAAATCTGTCGACCCTTTCCAAACGCACATTGGGTCGACTGATTTTGTGCACCGTGATTGGTCAACATGTTGCAAGCTCTTGGAGGCATGCTATCGTGAATTGCCCGCATGGAACCCCGGCCCTAACAGGTGGAAGGCGAGGACGCAACTATGGCACCAACCTGACTTACCATTTCTCCTAAATATATGTATTTATGTCATTCGATAAATTTGGGGACAAACTTTTTCGTGTCCCTGTCACATCTGACACATGATTTTGTAAGTTCAGAACACCTTTTCTAATTTCAAGGTTGATGAATTAATACAAATTACTTGCACCTGCCAAACAAATAGAAATAGTTAAAATCAATTTCAGCAATGTTTACATATCAAATACACACAAAAACGTCACACTTTTGGACCCCAAATTTATAGAATGACCCAATTAGGAACTTAACTGTACCCACATGTATCAAAGCAAGGACTCAGGGTTGTGATGGTTTTGTATCCAAAGTTGGCCCCAACACACTCAGTGTTATTGATAGAGTTTCATGATGTCATCAACCTAATTATCATTTTGACTCATCTATCAGCCTACCAACCAGCCAGTCATCATGCAAATCAATCAGCCTACCAACCAGCCAGTCATCTTGTCAACCAATCAGCCTACCAACCAGCCAGTCATCTTGTGCACCGATCACCCTTCCAGCCAGCCAGTTATGATGTGAACCAAACAGCCTACCAACCAGCCACTCATCTTGTGCAAGAATCAGCCTACCAACCAGCCAGTCATCTTGTGGACCAGTCATGCTAGAGATCCAGCAAGTAGCCAGGGCATCATTGCTACTGTAAGTTTGTACCAGTCATGCACTAGATAAGCTCGGCTAAGTTTCATTTACCATAACCTCAACTGCCCTTTTTTGCATGGCTTTGGGAGCTTTTCCAGCCGCCCTCGTAATTAGCAAATTGCCAACAATTTAAATGTTGTTAATCACCAAGCTGTCTCGACAAGCTGTCTCTCTGAGCATAAAGTGAAAAAGTAAGAGCTCATCTAAATTTGCATATTGAAGGTCAACGTTTATCCTTGTACACTGTTAATCCACTAGAATTTACATATTCAAATTTGGAATGTTGCTGTTATATTTGATGCTAATCTGCATCCAGCCACCAATAGATAACCAAGTTAATTAGTTTTCATTTTCTGTTTGTCAGGTTGACCATGGTCCTAGAAACATGGGCCAGTAATCCTCACCTTGCCAGATGCACCTCGTTTTGGTACATTGTAAGTTCTTTCATAAAACCTCTCTCAAGACCAATTATATATCCTTGTTTGGAACTTCGCCTTCAAAATGTAACATTGTTCATGGAGGAAATTCCTCAAGGCATGGTAAAAAAGTCGTCTATTGCAGAAAATCAGTGTCAAGGCATAACACAGAAGTAAAGGAATTGTGGCACAGGCCTTTTCATGAAGTACCGTGCTTTCTGTTTCCTGCTGAAAAAAGAAGTACTTGCTCTGACATGTTCTGTTTCAACTGAGGAAGTCACAGCCAACATAATAAACACCAGTTTCGATAAAATGTGCCCAAGTGTCACACTTCGTGTTCCCCCGTTCATATGAAGACCAGCAGGCAAACTTCTCTTGTGTCTTCTCCAACCCTAGCTTCTACTCAAGCCCTGCATGCGTCAGCAAGCGTTTTTATGGGGAAGGCTACCGTATGTACAGGTGTACACAGTGTCCTGAGATTTAATGTTTTCATGACTTTTCGGATGGCAAAGCCTCTCTGCACTTTTCAATCTTGTACGTATCTGTTTGTGTCATGCCCCTTCCGAGTCCTGGAGAAGTGTGCCCAGGAACACAGTGGAATCTTTGGTAGATATGCGTCTCAGTGTCCCACACAGCTTCATGCTCAAGTTTTAGGGCATTTTGGAATTTTTTTAATCCTAATAGAAATGTTCACATTCATGAGTAAAAGTCTGATGTTATCCCAGGAAGAAACTTTCATGCCACAGCTATTTCAGCACGACTATTTTTTAGAAATTTGGATCATTTTGCTGTCTTTTAAATGACGGGTGATTTGTTGCCGTTTCAGTTCATGAATGAGGGTAACCAAGTGTCCTCCAAAATGTTTTCTCTGAGCAAATTTGGGGTCGCCATTTTGAGCAGAAAACAGTTCATAACAAGCAGTGTCTTCCTGGAATTAAATTGTAGCAACAATTCCTTACGTTTTTTCAGGAAAAATTGTAAATTTGCACATATCAGTACAGTTTATCAAAAAGAGATAAGTTCTTTTCATAGATTTCAGAGGAGCAGAAGGTTGGAGAAAAATTCTTGCTTGGACCTTTTCATCGCATTTAGAATTAGTGTGTTGGGCCGCATTGACCTAAACCCTTTGGTATTTTGGTTTCATTCCAGTCAAAAACTTTTGTTTTGCTCATTGTTTAATAGCAGTAGCTAGAACATTCTCGCACTGGTTACTGTGACGGACAGGAGAATCCTCTGTTGCCATGGAGATGGCTCTGCTTCTCAAGGATTTCAGGTGAGTTCCCAGTCTTTGTCAAAGAAGTGAGAGACCACTTCAATAGATCCCAGTACTGATGACACCACACTTTGTTTACCTGTGCGCTTTTCTACTGTGCTCAGTGGACCGTAGGCGCCCACTGGCTCCATAGTAAAAGTGTACATAACAGAGTTGGATGGCTTCATTACATAGGCCTGTCGTGAAGGTCGGTTAAGAACATCATTGTTTATCTTCAGACTTTACATGAAAGTACGTCTGCTGCTCAGATAGTTTCAAAAAATGTAGCATGCAAATTTTTCTTCTCCATTTATTTATATATCTGTTCATCAGTGCATTTAAAAGGATAAATTGCTGTGCAGTTTTACAGAGGTGGGAGGATAATATTTCTGGGAAAACCTACAGGCAGGGACTGAAAATCCAATCCAGATGTTGACCGATGTGGGATTCGAACCCGGGTCGCAGAGGTGGAAGGCAAGGAAAGAGCCATTACACCAACCTGACATCTTCAATCAGGCCAAATAGTATTTTGACCCTACATCCTTGGCAAAAGAGGGGCATTTCTTTTCTAGTTCGCCTGTGGTCTCAGTGCCCAAAATATGCAGGAAAATAGGTCAGGCTGGTCATGAAACATAGTTCAGTGTATCCAGTTAAGGGTGTTATTTCTTGGCCTGATTAATTGACGACCCTTGAACAAAATAACAATCCTGGCATTTACGGTGCACATACAATGTATGCATCTGGCCATATCTAATGTTCCTAGTTCTACAAGAGTTTGTATACAACTGTTAACAATACTAGAATATGTGCAAAACTTTTCAGGATTTTAACCAATAAAATATCAAGGTTTTTAGAAATGGAATGAATGCATTTTTCTCTTTTACAGGAAGCTACAAATGCTACAGTTGTTTCCAACACAAGGCTCAAGTTTCATCGACAATTGAAAGTCACAAGACAAGGTAAATAATTGACTCAAAATCTTCAAGGTCTGTCATTCTCAGGATGAGCCAAGGTATTTAATATTTCCAGCACTACAACGTTTTAAGGGTGAAATTGGTTGCTTCTCAGGACGAGGCACATTTTCTTCCGACTGGCATTTTAAAAAACATTTTGCGCACTAAAATGTAGAATGTTAGGTTTGAAATCGATGAAAACAATATTTGGTAATGAAACCAATTCCTTTTCCAGGTGCAGCGCAAATTGTTATTGCAGATACATCTGTCCTTGGTTGACCACTGAAAATTTACAAGACTTTATTAAAGAGGGTTATGGAACATCGGCTTTCCAATTCTCAACTTCACAATAAATGCCCCTTAAATTTTCCCACGTCTGCTTTTGATACAGCTCTCATGAATTCCACTCTGTTACAACCAAGGAGGATGATTCAATGAAAAACGAGGAATATGCATTCATGAACAATTTGGAATAAAAGTTTAAAATAAGACATTCTTGAGACCAGAATTTGGAGATGAGTTTTAGACCTCCTTGGGAAAAAATAGAATGGTTGACACAGCATGATTGCTTAGGGCAATCCAAAACCTTTGGCCAATAGAGCTCCTTAAGCACGAGCAAACCTTGCTTGATAAATCAGGTAACCAGCCAAAACTCTGTGTGATGTACATCGTTTTGGAATGGTATTTAGCTGTCTTTTGGTTAGCATGACAATCAAAGAGTTTGTGCTGGTAACTTTTGTTTTTTAAGCAAGGTATTTTCGTACTTTGAGTAGATTTTGTGCTTGAGCAGCTCTATGAAAACGGCCCTTTCTTGTTACTGATGTAGTCAGTGTAGCAAGTTAAATTTTACCAGCAAAGCTTGTGGTTTGGTCATGCACGCAAGTTAAGCAGTGATGAGTAGAGTTAATGTATTTAGTTTCACCGTGAAACGGTTTTAGATATTATTACTCTGCACAATGACAATGGAGTCTTCTGGGCAATGCTTCCATTAGAATTCATATCCAACAAGGCAAAATAATTGGAGTCTACATGTATTTCCAAAAAAAATCACTGGAAAAGGTAACTTATTATTCACGTTTTCAAATTGATGAGAGTTTTCCTTAAACTTTTAACTCAAAACAGCAGAGTTCACTTCAGTGTCTTCGGACTAAGTTCTTAAACTTTTTTTGTTCTTTTCCTCTATCAGGTACAAATTTCAGCTGGTCCGTGACCGTCGATCCATGCCTGCAATGCCGAGGTCCTACGACATATTAAACACGAGATGTCCCGAGCTGTTGTAGATGTGGGTTGGTCCCTCTCACTGAAGACAGGAGTAGCTTTGAGATAACTCTGATATCCAGCGGAGATAGGGAAGAACTCAGCCTTAACTGGAACTAGTTATGAAGGAAAAGAGAAAAGCCATTATGAACTTCACATTGCAGGCATGCAACTTGGACTTAGACAAAATTAAGGAAATTCCGATTTTTTAAGACTTTACTTTTAATGTTTTTCAGTTTTGAAGCCAAAAACAAGGGAGTCAGCTGATCTGAGTAAAATTTGTCCGACTAATGACTCATATTTCATAAAATTTTTCCAATGCAAAATTTATATGCATTTTGCTGCTCTCTTGAGCTTCCTGGAATCTTGTAGAAGATGTTCTTAAAATGCTTGAAAAGCCTGAGGTAAAAATGTAACTCATAGAAGCAATCTTTTCTACTAGAGAGATTTTACCGCCGAGTTTGATCAATAAATAAAACAGGGAAAGTGGAAGTGCTTGATCTTCATTGTCTCTTCAATTTGTTGTCTGCTGTTGCTTATAAGTATAATTTGCAGATCATTACCGAACAGAAACTATTGTTTTTGCCTTTCTTTGAAGTGGGATATTCATAAGTAGGATATGGTAGCAGAGACCTGCAAACACTTGGGCAAATCCTTATTAATATAGAGTAGCAAAGGACCGACAATCGACCAGCAGCTGAGAAAAAGATACGAATAAAACCTGAAGATCAAGCAATGTGGCTTGTACCACACTAAAGTGAACAATGCAGGGACATGAAGGAATATGTTGCGTCTTGGTGCCACATCTAAATGGAAGTGAATTATGACAAATTTGCACCTTTCAAATATGGTGTCAAATTAGAAAAAGTAGACTCTACATATATAGACTATAAAACCAAGGAATTTGCATCACGATTAGAACATGAACTTTCAGAGCAAAAAATCTTAAATGCGTTCGTTTACCTTCTCATGTAGTTTTCGTTAAACTGGACGACCACGTAGAACTTGGGAAGAAATACTCGTCAGGAAAAGGCGGGATTCAAAGCTGAAGTCAAAGGTAATAGTACGTTCGAATACAGACATTTGGGGAAGCTGGGGCGTCGAACAGTGAAGGCTGGGGAGACACTGCACCGCTGAAGACCAGGCTTCAAATGACAAAAAACCACAACTGATATCATGGGTACGGCGGGCGATGACCCAACCAGCCCATGTGACGGGCAGGGAACCAATTAAAAGACACGAGGAAGGTGTGGTGTGGGCGGACAGGGAACCTTCCGTGAGCAGTGCAGAAATGTTCAAGGGAATACGAGGCGTTTATACCCTCGGCCCTCATTGCTCACACATAAGTTGAAGGGTACTTCGGCTGAAAAAGAGACCAATTCTTTTGTTGGATTCCTTTGTTCGGTCGTTCCGTAACAATAAAAACATTCGAGGCTTACGGAGGATTAGACGCCGCTATCTTTCGTTACGCTTGAGTGAACAACAATGGGGAGAATTGAAGCAGAAAATAACGAAAAACTCGCCTTTAAAATCACTTTAAACGACAAAATGATGTTTTTTGCAGAGGAAATTGCATAACAAATCTACCTGTAGTTTCAAAATTCCAAAAATTCGCCCAGATAAAAAGTTGGCTTTTCAGGACTGACGGGTTCCACGCTAAAACTTTCTCCGTCCCGCCGTTGGTGGCGCTTTAACACTGAAAGTCTACTGTGCAGTTTGTATATGGATAGACCAGCAGAATGCGCGTTATGCATGCCTAGGGGTGCACCCGCCCTGGAAAATAGGCCCAAAATATAGGCACTGCAATTCAAAATGGCTACTTTTCGAGGCAGTGAAATTTCCTTTATTTTAGAGGAGATCTGCTTTGGGTGAGAATTTCTCAAAAATTCATCGGTCAACCCACTAAAACGTCGAACATTTTGCTGTCCAGCTTTTTTTTTCTTGGACACCTGTGAGAGTTGTATTTTTAAAACTATTTTGAAATTAAAGGAATTATCATTGGTGTCATGGGAATTTATTTACAAGGTTGCACCCCTCAGACTATATCTGAGCTCGCCCAGGAGTTATTTTGTCCATTTTCCTGACGAGCAAAACATTGTTTTACTACCTTCGTAAGAACGCTGCCAAACTTTTCCAAGCAATACTGGTTCCCGCCTGCGTAAGCCAAAACTAACACAAAAACGGGCAACCATCGTTTTGGACCGTAACGAAAATCAGATTTGGACCGCCGATATGGCTAGTTCTGTTCACAGTTGATCGTGCACGCGTGTATACAGCATAGCGCGCTACAAAATTGGGCATTTTGCCGTTTCCATGGAGCGTGCGCATTGTGCATAACCATGTGGCGTGCGCATGCTAGATAAATGCCCATATCTGTGTTTCCCAGTGCCGCACGCACCGTGCACGTCAATCACACACCGTGGACTCTCAATTTTATAGCGCCACCAACGGCCGGTGTGAGAAAGTTTTAGCGTGGAAGCAGAGGGTCCTGAAAAGTCAACTTTTTTATCTGACCGAATTTTGGAATTTTGAAACTATAGGTAGATTCATTATTCGATTTCCTCTGCACAATATATCATTTTGTTACCTGAAACGCTTTTAAAGGAGAGTTTTTCGAGATTTTCTGCTTCAATTCTCCCCATTGTTGTTCACTCAAGCGTAACGAAAGATAGCGGCGTCTAATCCTCAGTAAGCCTCGAATGTTTTTATTGTTCAGGGGAAGCTGAACAAAAGAACTCAAGAAAAGAATTGGTCTCTTTTTCAGCCGAAGTACCTTTACGTTCTGTGTGACCAGTGATGAAGGCCAGGATATAAACGCCTAGTGTTCACCTCTAATATTTCCTTACATCTTCCAATGCTGCCCGGTACCCTGTCACACCTCCTATTGCACTTTCTATAATAGTTACCCCCACGCACGTGGTCAGCTTGGATCATCACCCATTAAATTCCTACCACCACTTCTCGGTGGGTCTTCAGTCGAGCAGCATCGCGGTGTTAAATGATCGTGCAACCACCGTACTTTTCACTTCCGCTGTGTTCTTCAAAAAGTACAGCATTCTAGACATCGGATTTGAATGCAAGGTATTTTTCCTGTGTAGTTCCACACAAGTCGATCAAGCAGTGCACATATATGGACGTAATCAAAGGTTGATCATATTTCCTAGGGTCACGCCCATTAGTTTTAAACACATCTTGGAATGAGCAACGTGAGTTAAAAGGACTTGTATCAGAAAGAGTTCCATAAACATGTATACGGACGCCTAAACTTTGCACAAACCCTATGAGACTGGTCTGAAAAATTGTGTTTTCTAAATAAATGACTTGGTAGTTTCCCTCTTAACTCGAAATTTGCTGGACATGTTTCGCTTCTTGACGGCTAATAGGTAACTGTAGGGAATATTACTGGCGTCCATATATGGAACTCTTTCCATTTGACTGATTTGCAGTCCTGTTGGAGTTTCCTAGACAGATATCACTTGTCACCCCAAGCGCAAACCCTACGATACTGTTCATAAAAACCATCTTTTTTTCTAAAGTACACGTATTCTTCAGTATTCCCTGCTAAATTTGCCTCCTGAGGACATGATTTCACTTTCTGATCGCTGATGTACACCACTATGTGACAAACTAATGACATCTGTATATGGGACTCTTCCCCCCTAATGTCCCCCAGAGAGTATGGAAAAATTCAAATTGAAGGATTGTCTGAGGGGTAAATTGAAACAGGCAGGTCTTACCGTTCATTCAAAATTGGACAGATTTTTGCCTATAAACATTAAAAATAGATGAGTTAAACTTAAATGTTCTTTACTTTTCATATCGAGAGGGAACTGACAAAAAGGCACATGATATGAGACACAAATTGAAGAGACTTGATGATACCAAATAATTTACTTTACTTGTTTTATTATAAATTCTGAAGAAATATACAAGATTTGTATATACTGTGAAAAGACGGTTGCCTCATGATGTGACTTTATCTTCCTGTTTATTGTCATTTACTCCCAAGTATTCCTAACAATTGCTGAAAAGGCATTCTAAAAGGCAGAAATCTAAGATTGAAATATTTCCAATTTTGTTAAAGAAAATACTTCAGATATTATTTATATCCAATGAATGAGATATGTATTCAGCCATGGTGAGTTTTGTGTTTGTAAAACCAACTTTTCCTCAGTCTCAAGTTTTTCCCAAGTCAAATGGCTTTGGCTTCCACGACAAACACAGGGTGTGGTCGAAGGTGTTTGGTAGTGAGTGCAGTTGCCCCTTAGCCTACAAGAAAGGAAAAGGCCTTCGGAAACATCACGATAATTTGTTCCACTAAAAACAATTGTGAAAGAACTTTTGAAAATCGTACATGGCATGTGACAAGGTACATGTATATCATTGATTAAAGTAAAATTAAAAAGGCGTCAAAGAAATGTGGCCTTCAATTCTAGCCAACAAATTTTCCAAGAACATTGTGAAATCTGTATTCAATCTAAACAGACCAAAGTCCAAAGTCGATTATCATTTTTTCCCCTCATATTTTAGAAAGCCAGTTCCAGAACAGCGAGAGTACTCCTCTGAACATCAGTACAATGGCCAAGCTACGCCTGTCTCTGGTGTAAGGGACCAACCGATGTCTGAGGCTACCAGGGTCATTTTGCACTCAATCTCCTAACACCTGGGCATCGATGGCATGGATCCTGAAGTTTGGAGTGCTACCTGATGAAGGGAAACCAAAAACCTGAATCAATTGAAGCTAGGATCATTACCAATCAGAAGATTGAAGCCAGCTTCAAACTTATAAACTCTAGTGTTGTGGTAAAAGCAATGAGATACGCTCTTTATCAAAGTCCTTGGTTTGTCCTCGATAACGATCGAAAGATAATTTGAATGTTTGTGTTCCATTGTAACTGCCTTGGACACATGCTCAAACCTCTGTCAAAACCCAAATTGGAAAGTTTGGAACAATACAGGCAATTCACAATAGTGTGCCTCGTGTTGGCCAATCACAGCATGCAAAATCTGTTGACCCTTTCCAAATGTGCATTGCGTTGATGGATTTTGCGCATTTTGATTTGCCTACGCGCTGCAAACTCTTGGAGGTGCACTATTGTGAAACGGCCGTATTGTTCAACAGAGGAACTCCAGAATGACCTCTGGACTTACAAACTGAGCTCATATATCTAAAATACCAATTTTGCTGGAAACATTTTGAGTGCTGAATTCTAATAAACAGGTCTGTATGACGTCCATGCAATATTGGTGGGACAAAACTGTTTCTTTTTTTCCTGATGTTTCAATTCATATCTCAGAATTCTGAAACTTGTTAAAGTGCAAACAAACTGTTTCAACAATAAATTAATATCCTCATTACGCAAAATGTGTTTCTTTTATCAGTTATTGGTTTCACTTTGCTGCACGCAGTTAAAAGGAATTTTAGAAAGATGTGCCGTTTCATGTTTGAGATGATATGGGAGAATTCGGGGGCTTAATCTCAGTGCCTTACATGCAAGGTTTAATCAACTTTGCTATCAGATGTTCTTGGACCCTCTAAACATTAAGAATTCTCGGATTATTATTTAAACAAAGTTTTTTTTTTATCATTTCACAATCTTTGAAAATGTATGCCTGTGTGCTTGACCCTCCCCCCTCAAAAAAACTGCTCAAACTTGGCGGACAATCATTTGCAACATTCAAGCTGGGAACCAACTTCTAACAGCCAGTGTTTTCATTAACGTGAAAAGTTGAGATCAACGGACAATTTCGGAAATAAGTGGTCAACCAAGGATATTTGGAATCTATTTAACAAGTCTTCTTCGTATCATAAGATATTCCTATCCAGTAAGGATAATGCCAATGATTACTGGAACTCTGAATGGGATGAAATTTTATGAATGTATCTTCACCTTGTCAAGTGAATTTTGGCTGCCAATGAAGGTTGTCCGAGAGCATTATGGTCACACCACTAGCCGTCTGTTCCTCTTTCCTGTGCAAAAGAAAAAAGTGCATTGGTTTCATTGCAGGACCACTGAAAACATCTTAAACGTCATACAAAAATTACATTAAACATATCTGGTTCATCAGTGCCTTCATGTCTGTTGGACAAAGAAATACCCGGGCATGCACTGCATTTGAAAGAAAATCCGAGTTTCGGGTCCTCATTAGTTTGGTTTCAGAGGTCTCGGATGAACCTGGTAAATGACTTCAAGTGGCAGACACTGAATGTTGCAATGTTTCCAGTGACCCTAGCACTGGGGTGAATTTGCCGATGATCACTTTGTGATTAGTCTGGGTACGAGTAATATGTTTTATGATGCAAATTATAAAAGGTAGGGTAATATACATGTAGACACTTTGGCAAGGTGCCAGAAACTGACTCGTGGCATTAGTGGGAGATGTACCATGACAGCTTCTGCGCGGTTTAACTGTAAGACTGAAGGTCTTGTTAGTTATTGGCTGCTTGCTCTCGGAAGCAAGCAACCCCAATCTATTGATTTGTTGTATGCATGGCGACTAGGCCCCTTCAATTTTATAGAAATAAAGCAAGGACACAACTACCTCAACTTCTGCATGAGGTTTTTTCTTAGGGGGATCTTACTGATTCATAAAAAGCGGCAGTGTTTGCTTAATATGTTGCTGGCTGGTACCCACTATTTCAAAGGAAGATTGGTGGTGACCACAGGAGTTCCCCTAAGTCATATTTTTCCTGTCTTATTCCCCGTCTTATTTGCAATTGCTGAATTGGAAGGAAAGAACCCAAGGGATAACAATAACTGGAGCTAAAATTAACTGAACAAATCAGGTACAAGTACAAAATGAAGTGGTCAGCGTCACAAACTGGCTTTCTATACATGAACAGCACAGTCATATGGTTGTAGAATGATCGGCACACTTGCCTTTTACCCCGGGCGTTTTTTCTTCCACCAATGACTCCAGGCCTGCCTTCAGTTTCACTCTCTTAATTCTGTCCGTTTGGAAAGTAAGAAAATATGCACTAGTCGTTGCAGTTTTTGCTCCAAAACAACCACATTTATGTTTAAAAATTAAACAGGTGGCAAATCAACATTTGCGACTACAGTATCATGGCTACTTTGAAATTTACAGGACTGTTTTATTGACTGTACATGTATATGCCAGGAGGCCACAAGTTCTCACAAAGCCTGCAGTGATGTAGTGGAGTACTTTTTGTAAACCAAGTTCTCAACCAAATATTTAACTAGCTAGGAGGAAACGAAGCTGAAGTACATTGGCATTTGATGGTTCATGCATAAAGGTAAGATTACAAAGCAACATGATGACTTCAGACCATAACTGTTTGATCAAAATTAACTTTTTAGGACAAAAGTACCGCGTACTTTCTAAGTACTTTTCTCCTTAAAACTTAAATTTTACACAACTGGGGGTGTCTGAAGTCTGACATTTATTTTGTAATCTTTCCTTTGCCCATTTACCATCAAATGCCTGTGCACTCTGGCTTTATTCCCTCTTACCCAGTTCAGTATTTTGCGGAAAACGTTGGTACTCGGAAAGCACTCGGCTACAACACTAGTATATAGAATGTATAGTATTTAGAATGTATTTCACATGAATGGGGCTTGAAAATCCACCAAAAGGTACATGTATAAGGTACATGTAAGGTACACGAAAGCCACAACCTACATGTACATGTACCTGCGCTAATCCACTGCATGATTGGTACAAGGCTTGCAGTAACACTATGGCCTGGCTACTTGCTAGTTGTCTAACATGACTCGCTCACAGGATGACTGGCTAGTTGGAAGGCTGATTGGTTCACAAGATGACTGGCTATGCTGATAGGCTGACTGGTTCACAAGATGACTGGCTGGTTGGTTGCCTGACTGATACATGTCGGCTGGTTGGTTCATTTGTGCGCCCTGGGTAGGATGATAACTAGGTGTCTTCCATGTTTGATCTGTCAAACAAAACTGCAGTAAAAGTCCATAACTGAGGGCATATTCTGATGGTAAAATGATTTAAGGACCTGAAATCCTGTTTTTGCTATAGAACCTTTCTCAATTTGCTGCAAATTGTAACACTCAAGGCCCTTACCCACAGATTGTTCAAGCAGTGTCTCTGCCATGCCACAGTGCTGTCACACACTCAGTATTTCCCCTTTACTTTTCAAGCAACAAACACGGAATCCCCCAGGAGATAGCCACAAGCTCCAAGATACATGTACATAAAGCAGCACCCACTGTGGTTTACGCAGTATTCCACAGATACAGATTAAAGATCTCCCTTTCTATTTTGATTCACTTAGACTCTTTCCCCTTCCTTATGATCCTGCCCATGTGGCTGGTCTTTCAGTTCTAACGACACAGACGTGTGTTACAACAAGGACAATCCCTACTCTAACAGCAGGGGTAGGACCGGTCCAAGTACAATGGGCCAGTGCACTCGTGCAGTCCCTTGTTCATTCAAGCATGAAGACATGAATTACACAGCAACCCCCAAAACTATTTATAGACCAGGCCAGGGGATGACGTGTCTTTTTTCCCAGTGCCACGTTACTTTCAAAAGCAGACTTTCTGTTTTGCATCAAACAGACAAACTACTTAATTTTTCCCCCCAACAGTGTGAGTGATTGATTTTCCTGGGACTTCACAAGAGGTGAGGACATTGCCACAGGTATTTTGGTGAGTTTTGAAGGTCAGGTGCTATTCAAAAGTGATAAAATTTGTACTTTACTTATCAACAATACAGGAATATACAAAAAATATCTCAGAAGTGTCTTGGAAAATGCTACAACAGCAGACACAAAACTGATCCCATGCCCCATACAAAAAGAGAAACTACAGTGTACTCACATACATTTGCTTTCAATTTGTCAACAGTATTGCACTATTTCAAGATGTTTGCATTGGGGAGATGCCAATTTATATAACAGGATTTGCCCTTACCCAACATATACACTGATAAACACTGTATAATCAGTGCTTGTCCAAGAGCTTGTAAAAATATTCACAAGCTCGGGTGGGACTTTAACCCACGACCTCCTACTTACTAGTGCAGACGTCTTAACCACTCGAGTTAAGCACCTGTTATTCTTTACTTTTTCTGCAATTCTTCCTCTTCTTTGTATCATTTACTGTTCCCACTCTTTATTTATAATGTACAAGTATGTCAGCTTCATTCCAGACAATTTTCCCCTTTTGACAAAAAGTTGAACATGTGACTAAATCCTGCTTTTGCTTTTTTCTGTGTTTCAGATGGAAACACCCACGTGTTTCTACACCATTATTAAACCAGAAAAGATTTCATTTGATGCTGAGATTAGCTCAGTAGCATCTAAAAATAAAGTGTTCCGGGCAACATGGCGAGCGCCTTCAGGAAAGCAGACAGTCGCTGCAAAATGCTGCAGTCGTTTTCATGAGGAGGAAGTACTGATTATGGCAAGGATGAACCACAAAAATATCATCAAGCTCTTGGGGGTTGTCAAGCCTGCTTCACTGAAGGAGAATTACATTATTGTAACCGAATATGCTGAGAGGGGTTCTTTGTACAATGTCATTCAACAACACCGTGAGAACTGGCCAGAGTTTAGGCAGAATTATTCGATGAGATTGGCCCAGGATGGTGCCAGGGCTCTGCAGTACATTCATGACACCAAGTACCAACACGGGGATGTCAAATCACCCAACTTCCTTGTCACCAGTGAAGATGTACTGAAGATTTGTGACTTTGGCATATCCAGGCAATGTGAATATACAATCAGTACAGTCACTAATAGAGGGTCCTACCCATGGATGGCACCAGAGGCCCTTGGTGATGTAGGCACTATATATGATTCTTCTAGTACTAGCTCCAGAAAACCGTGCAAGGTCACAACCAAATCAGATGTCTATTCCTTTGGTGTTGTCATTTGGGAGCTGATATCTGGTAAGGCCCCCTATCCTGACAAACAGTTATATTACATTTGCAAAGCTGTAGTGGAGAAAGGAGAACGCTTGGAGATTCCACATGATTGCCCTGAACACCAGCAAATAAGTGATCTTCTAAATAAATGCTGGCAAGCTGACTACGTACAAAGACCCAACATGCAAGAAGTTCTTGAAAACCTCATCTGTATTGAGGACGGATGGAAAAAAACATCAGGTAGGTTGTGAGCATGTGGGACATAAATTTTAAAGGACTTAAATGATTTTACGTAGTACAATGTTAATTTAATTTACGTAGTACAATGTTAATTTAACATTTTCTTCAAAGCCGTATCGTTTTTACAGAACGTGTATGTAAACATTATCAGTAATTTCTGATTCAAGGAGAAAAGTAGATGCAACTAAACAAAGGAAGCATCTTCTTCTTGGAAAATCACAAACAGTTCCTAATTTGCTCAGTTAGCCTGACACTGTTATTGTGGAAAAGCATAAAAAGGTGTGTGTGGACAGATTGAAAGCCACATGTGTACACATATATTCAACATTAAATTCTTTTAAGTGTAAAGAATATCTTGCGATCTGTAATGATTCAGAACTTTAGTATATGGCTTGTAGGATGGTCGTTGTTTGGAAGCTTTGGTTGAAGAAAAGGCCAGGATAAGCAATTAAGCAGAAAAACAATGTTTCTGATTGGTTGATTGTTCCTTTCTCATTTACAGGTTTGATGAATCAGATGAACTGCTCAGAAGTAACTTTTGTAAAAGCACAAGTTAGAACCAGATCCCCAATTTTGTCTAGTTTTTGCTCATCATCTACTTGACTTTTGAAACTTAATTTTAAAATGTTAAAACATTGTAAATGAATTTCAATGCCTTTATATATTGTAAAGGGAACAAACATAACATTTCAAAAAAATGAGTATGAAGCTCTGTCAAAAAGATGCCTTTTGTTATCAATTCTATCAGAATTTTTTTTTGAAAGTCAATGTGTACCACATGAGAAAAGATTCTTCCATTGTAAGTAGGTAACCATTTGGCTCTATTGCCCTCTACAGGCATTTCCATGGCAACCAAAGACACCTTTTAAATGAACTAATGAATATCAAATGAGTCCAGTTTGGAGGGATCAGTGAAGGTTTTCCTGGGTAATGCCCAATTGATCGTTCCCCTTCTATCCTTGGAGCTCTATGCAATTGAATAGGATTGAATTAAGAGCGAGAATTCCTGAAAAGTGCATCTCAATTTTTCCCTGTCAAAATCTTTATTCCTGTATAGGACGTACCAAGGATTAACAAGAAAGAAAGAAAAACTACTGGTTGTTGGTTTGGGAGGGGTGAGCACTGCAGCCCATACAATATACAGGCTACGTGTTTCAAAACTTCAGCACAGACACAAAAGAAATGGCCACCACTGCATCAGACAACAACTTAATTTGCTGTCCTACGATCCTATCATCAGCAAAGACTTAAAATCACTGGCGTCAAATTCCTCCTAACGTCGATCCCAATTTGTTTTAAATATTTATACATCTTTCACCCCAGCTTTATGGTTTCTTGCAATTTCAGGCAAGCAGGAGGTGGACGGCAAGTGGGAAATGTGTCATGAGTTTGGCAAAAAGGGAAGCGGTCCAGGAGAGTTCAATGGAGCTACGAGTATTACTGCTACTCAAATGAGTGACATTGCTGTGATAGACTGTTGTAACAAGCAAGTGGTGATCTCCAGCAACGAGGGACAACACAAGGAGAGCATTCCCCTACAATCATGTAAGTTTCTTTGAAATGCACAAATCACATGTTGAAAGACAACCACAGCAGGCTTCACTCTATGCTCTTGCCTACACTGTACGTTATCTTGGTACTCACAAAAAATTTAACCCTGAATGCTGAAATTACCCTGGTTATGGGGAATGTCCACACTGCACTTTTTGGATTGAAATTTCTTCAGGTAACTGCTTCGAAGTGCCACTTAGCCTGGGTAATTTCCAACCCTTCCCTGGAGGTGGGTTAATCTACTAGTGTAAGGGTTACTTGCAGACTTGACACCATTTCCCCAGGTTACCGCCAACAGTGTGCATGAATGCTCCTGGATTTTGTTCAACCCTGGGTTGGTCATTGAGTTTGAACAGCACAGCCATCGCAGCCTTGCATGCGCGGTGCGCAAGTGCTGCATGTGGTTTACTTTTTATTTAAGTCTACTTAATAGAAGAGACCAATCTATCACGGCCAGTAACTTGACTTAATGCACACAAGTCTTTTACAATAGATGTTTGCAAATTACCATCTTCTTTACATTTTTGGTTTACACAATGGACACATAGACACCTTGTTTTTACAATAACAGGCTGAATCTAAATCTTACAAATAATTCATATTTACATGAAGTATGGTACAAGAAAACTTTCAGTCAGGGGACATTCTGCTGTTATTAAAGGGCAGCTGCAATGATTTTTTTAAGAGACACAATTTTTCTGCAACTTTATACTCTTCTTCACTGTTTAAACATTCTTTTACAACACTCCCAGAAAAGTGAACTTTTTAAAACAATTACGGTACAATAATCCTTGCATTCCTGGACAACTGAGGGCGCTCTTCTTGTGATTTTATCCAGGAAAGACATACTGGTCATATATTGCATATAAGTTTTTCTATGAAAATTGTGAACCACGAAACGTGCTTACTGAAAACAATCCTGAGAAAACCATTGGTGCTTACTTATTGCTGAAAAACAAAGAATCGGCAAAGAAGAGAAAATTTAGTCCAGCAAAGTCTACAAATACGCTTGACTTTTGTGTACAAACCAGTGTAACAGATGTGCTCATGAACATGGAAATCCTCATCATTAGCATAAAAAGCAAAAAGCTTCAAAATACCCTTTGAAGTAGTGAAAGACAAATTGAAAATAAGGTTACATGAGACACAAAGGTGCACTTTGAAGGTCTGTATAAAAACAACTTGATTGCAGCTACCCTTTAAGCTGTTGTGAGCACAGTGCCAGTGGAGCGTTTGGGGGTAGAGTTGAAACAATGCATATATTCTCCAGGTTTCCCCTTTTAGAGTGTGAATATGGTTACAAATTACCTGAGTGCATCTACTAAAGAAAGTAAGCTAAACAGCAGGGTGAATTTTGAAGTGTGACAGACATTCCACAGGTTGGATTCTATATGTACCGGTACATGTGCATGGGAATGAAACCACTCAGCTACATGTATATGATCAATTTACCTGATGAGTAGGTCCACACTAGTCTGAAAAGGGGCTAATGTACAAGATATGACAGACAGTGGAAACTACAAAAAAGAACTGCACCGTACTCTACAGTGCTACATAAGCACAACAGCACAAGAATACATGGTACACGTTTATAATAATGCACAAATATCACATGTATTTACACGTTTTTTCCTTTTTACACCAGGTCAACAGCTATCCATGATCATTACTCTTTATAATGGTAAATTACCATGGGTCTAATACCAATGAAAGTGTACTAGTTCGTGTGTTTTTAAAATCAAATGCTATTTATTCTCTTTCTCCTTTTGAATTCTACTTTACTCCCAGATCCACTTGACATCGCAGCCATCCACAATCATGACAATCAGTTGGTGGTTGTAGATGACACCAAGTATGTCAAGGTGTTCGATAAGAAGAACAAGCTGGCCTTCCAGTTCCCCACAGTGCCACAGAGTGAGGTAGACAAGACGGAAGTGAACCTCCAGAGTGTAGCAGTCAGGAAGGATGGCACCATCCTAGTGGGTGATGTGGAGAGGATGGTGTGGACGGAGCATAGACCCACTGATGGTCAGCTCCTACACACCGTACCAGTGCAGACTCCACCGTACTTCCTGTCTGTTGATCACTGCACTAATACAGTTGTGGTCAGTGGATTGGAAATTAACAGAGTAAGAGTGTATGTTGCTGCTGGCAATGGTGCAACACTGTCTACCATCAACCCAACTACCGATACCAAATGTCAACGAGTCCAGCGCTGCCGTGGTGTTTGCTGTGATAGGTCAGGCATTTACATTACAGTGTGTAATGCAGCTGATGGCACTGGTCACATTCACCACTATGACCTGGATGGTGTTTTTCTTGCTTGCCTGGCTCGAGGTCTGCAATGCCCATATGGAATCACATTCACATCAGACAGACAGCTGGCAATAGCTGACTGGGAATCAGTCAAGATGTATCACAAGGTGTGATGTCATCCCACAAGACACTGACTAACAATCTCCATCATCACCACAACAGCAAATGATGATGATGAAAGTGTCTCTTAAGACATTTTAGAAACTTTGTAAGAAGGATGTTATGAATAAATTTAAGACAAGCATCTTGAAAAGCCTCAGATATTTAACCAAATGACACATGTATTTTACTTTAAAAAATTTTAGACGGATTTGGTGACACACTGGAATCACTGACACAGATAAACAACATTCTTTACAATTCTTTTTAGATTACTAGTATTTAACTTGACTTGATAAGTAGTGTTCTTTCTAAATGAGCCACAGTTTTTGGGACAAAATTAGTGGTAGTGTCTTTTCATTATAAAATTAAATAAGACTATGTCCTTTTAGATCTAAATTTTTGCTTGGGATGGAACCATTTTTTATTGCATTGATTTTATGGGCTCTATGACAACATTTTTTTACAATGAACAACTTCACTACTAGGGTACTTACCTTTGTACATATAGAGTGCATTAATCCATTTTCATTTCCAACATCTTAACCACAATATTGTTTAATTTCTGCTGTATTTAACAGTTTGGAGTCAGCAATCATTGGAGATGTTTGTTTGAACACATTTGTTTTACTAATCATGGAAATTTAAAATCTTTAGTTTCAAGTTTTGTGCTAAATTCAACGTCTTTAATCGGTACTTGAAATTTCTGCTTACTTTCACTCTATATAAACTTGTCTGATTTCCTTAATCCCCCTGGACTGTTTAGAAAGTAATCCTCCTGAATCCTCCCAAATCCTCTGCTACTGAACATGTATGTAGGAAACCAATGACATGTGTTTACAACATCAAGTTTCATGAGGCATTAAACACCACACAAAAGTAATGGTGTCCCAGTTCTACCTCACTGCAATGCAGCAAAACATCCTAAACTTCCTGGTGGATTTTGAAGGAAGTGGGAAGGTTAGGAGGTTGATGTTTGAGACGGACCAGTATTCACTGCAAAAGTCTCCTGATGCTTTTTCTGTTTCCGGATTCAAAGAAATAGTGAGCATAATTATTAAAATTATTTTACTCAAGCTTTTTGTCAAAGATGAGGGACAGTACTCAATATGCTTATGTGATGTGGTCTTCAATTTCATTGAGCTTCCAGGATCCTACAAACTCCTACCAAACCTCCAGGTGATTTTTGAAGGATCTTAGAGGGTTTGGGTTGGTTTTTGATGAGAAGCTACCGTATATTTATTCTAGCAATCTCTTGTTTTTCCTAAGATTTCAAGAGTGACAATGTTCATTAAGCTCATTTGTTTTTTGTCTCAAAAAAGTAAGTCATAAAGAATCGGGTAATATGTACCGTTCCAATAATAGGCTACTTGCATTTGCAGAGTTCAATTCCCTTATTTTAAAGATTCTGATAGATATTTTGCTTAATCGTTTGCCATTTCAAAAATAATTTCAAGATGGAAGTTATTTCCAAACTTTAAGCATGAGCCACCTCAAACCCTCCAATCTCAAGGGTAGCACCAATGGAATTGTGTATTTACATGTAACTAAATGGGGATGAATATAGTTTCCATATATTGAAGAAGGGTACACAGTTGCAGGGAAAACTGTGTCTAAGAAAAAAGTCATTGCATCTGCACTTTAAGAATTCCAGAAATTTATAGAAAAGGGAACATCACTGGCTACATTTTACAGTTATTTGATGATCAGAGATTTTGAGACACTATCGAAACCACTTCATTCATAAAATGTAACAATCTTACAATTATAATGACTGCTTACTCTGTATGATGACTGTTTACAACTTTATGGTAATACAAGTATCATGCATAAGCATTTGTTTAAGAAGAGACTGAAATATATTACTCCACCATTTGTTGGATATACTAGACCAAAAGATGGCTCAAAAATGAGTATAATCTGAAGGGATCTTGTTAATGTGACATTTTGCTGTTTATATTTCACATTAAATGAAAAGCTTCTTGGAAGCAATGCATTGGCTAGCCTCTTAGCAGAATGAGACGGAAAAAATATACAGGACAAAAAGAACTGATATTATGATGCTAAAATTCACTAAACAAAACAGGAATACCTAGTTGACCTAGTTACTGAAAAAAAAAATTACTAAGTGGTCAATGTTACAAATCGTGTTGTTAGATTTGACCAGCATAGTCACATGGGGACGGGATGATCAGAGCATGGACTTACCTGAGGCACTCTATGGTTCTCAAGACACTTCCTCCAATGACTCAAAGTCTTGCTTTGGTTTCACTCTCTCATTTCTGTCTTTTTGAAAAGTAAAAAAGTACACTGTACTTGAAATGCAATGTTTACTTGAAAACGACCATCATATTGAAATAAAAAAATTAAAAAGTGGCAAATGAAAATGTGTATCTCTGGTACCATGACTACTTTCTTTGAAATCCACAGCACTGAAACAATATTACTGTACTATAAAGTATACTTGCAAGAGCGCCACAAGACCTTTCCAAGGCGTGATTTGGTTGAGAACACGTAAGTGCCTACATGTGTCTGATATAAATGTGGCTTGAAAATCCATAGTATGTGCTGAAAGCCCTCACAGTTACAATGTGCTACCTACACAGATTGGGACACTGCTAATCCACTGTATGATTGATACAGACTTGCAGTGACACTGATGCCAGGCCACTTGCTGGATGTCTAGCATGACTGACTCTCGGCAAGACTGACGGAATGGTAGGCTGATTAGTTCATTTCGGCATTCTAGATGACTGGCTGGCTGGGTAGTACGATAACTGGGAGTCTCCCAAATTAATCTATCAAACAAAAAGGGAGTGAACATCTGACAATGACGGTGTTTTCTGGTGGTTAAATGATAATGAACTTAGATCCTGACATTTTAGCCAGAATTTCTTGAATTTGCCAAAGTGTTAAACAAGTCAGGGTCCTCATCCAAAGCTATATTTCNGGGCAGGTCCAAGTCCATGTACAATGGGGATGTTCATTGCAGCCACTCATGCGTTTCCTTGTTTACTCCAGCGTAAACACATTTGGCAAACACACAAGTTTAAGCACCCCCAAAATCTCCAATTCCATTAATAATCCTGGTGATGTAAGTCGATGACATCGCCGTATTTCTCCAGCCCAGCCAGAGTGCACCCATGCAGTCCCACAGATTTCACATTTGGCAAACACACAGGGTTCAGCATCCCAAAAATCCCCAATTCTATTTATAAACCTGGTGATCGCTGGATGATGTGATCGCTGGATGGTGTGATCACTGGATGATGTGATCACTGGATGATGTGATCGCTGGATGATGTGATCCCTGGATGATGTCTCTGTACCATTGTTTCTCCGGCAATATTTTGGAGGGATCTGTGCTTTCATAAACATATCTACTCTTGCCATCAATGTAAAAAACTGCTGAAACTTTTTTCCACAAACCATCTGTCCGGTGATTTTCCTGGAGCTTCAGACAATGTGAGAATGGTGTTGGAGTTGTTTTGGTGAGATTGGAAAGTCAAGTGATTCCTGATGGAATTAGTATTTTGCACCTTTCGTGAGTAGATAAATTGCTGTTCTGCTGCAGTGTAAAGTGAAACACAATTTGTTCAAAAACCTACAAAGTTACGAGCTAGATGACAGGAAAGGAACTCATTCATCTCAAAGGTATGGTGTCCATTTTGATATGTCACATCAAATCTGCAATTAATAAGTACATTGTATTGCTTAAAGGCAAGCACATCACTCTAAACCAAATGTTGTTTAACACTCCAAAAAATGTTGTTTTGCTGTGGAAAGTACCAGTATTTCCAAGTCAAAATTAATATCATTTGTATAGCGATAACAACGGCAAGGGCTAAAGAGAAGACCGGGCAACATCTTAAACATGGCGTCTGCCAGGACAGATACAAACAGCTAAATTTGGTCCTGAACTTTACGATTTATGTCCAAAATGACTAGGCACCAGCCGCTACACCATGGTGAGAAAGCACTGTGCTTCACCGAAATGAAGTGAATTCTAACCACTGTAAATCTGATAGCAGTACCTGTATCCTAATCTCGTCAGCAAAAGTCTGGCAATTAAAAAAAAAAACCAGCGGCATGAAAGTCATGTGAGGAGGAAATAAATAGAGCTCGGTGTACACACATCTTTTCTGCTATCTACATGTATGGCACGGAGCACCATTTGTGTAAGTGTTGCATGGTGACAAAGCAATGCATGAATGATTTACAATGTGCACTCTGATTTTTTCTCTGCGGACAATTTTGCTCGTGGAACTCGGAAGGTGGTGGTTGGAGGGTACAGAACCAAACATTAAAAACGATTTGATGGGCTGTCAACTGCTTTCTGACACAGTGACTCAAATTGATAATCTGAATTGTCTGAAGCATGAAGACCTCCACATTAAGTGAACATACAGAGTCATGCGTTCTGGTGCAGTATGTAACTTCCGAGAGGAACTGAGAATAGGTCATATTGTATACCTCACCGACAGATTCCACATCTTGATTGGCCAAGAGCCAGTCACATGTTATTCTCTATTTTCGCTATCTTGTTTTCAGTGGCTAAAGGAACTGCACACCTGTAGCAATTAAAGCAAGGTACCCATGGCAACCAAAAACCTCCAAGCATGACCTTCACCACTGTGTGCAAATCCACATACAGGTATGTACTGTACATGTACCAATGTTGTGTGCATTGCATGTTACATGTACATGTATGCAATTTGAAGTGTTAGCGCTAGAGAGCTGGGTTAAAATATTTTGTGAAGAGGTATTTTCGACAAGTACTGGTAAATTTTCAAATAGTTGGAATGGGTGGGAGGTCAAACTATGTACCCATGTGCATGCAGGACCTCATTCACTGCACTCATTTGAATTAAAAAGTGGGCTGACAACTGTAAATATTTATCCTATCAACAGAGGTGTTTCTGTGGGATGTAGCATAAACATACACGTAGGGGTAAATTTGAAGTTGTTTATTTACGAGCAA